AGAAACTCAATGAATAAAGAATAAGAAATTTAATAATGAAAGAAAATAAAAGTACTTGAAAAGCAGAAGAAATCATAAATTTTGCATTATAGGAAGACTACCAGCATCTATAATCCAGAAATCCCTAAGAATACTTTGGAGTAAGAGCACAAAAAGAAATCTAAAGTGGTTAGTTGCAGATAAGCTGCCAGAGTACTGTGATATGCAAAGTTTCATTAATTCCATGATGCTAAGTGTTCCCATGGGATCAAATACCTCTACTATGACAATAGGCATCGCAATTTATTGTAACTACTTTAGCGATGTTCTCTTTTCTAATCAACATTAATTCCTATAAGAGCAGAAAGAAATATGTATCCCTAGAACCTAACATCACATTTGGCATGCAGTAGGAGTTCCCTTAATATATGTCAAATAAACAAGAAAGCAATCTCTTCGAATGCTAAAATATCTTTACTAAAGAGCTCTCACATCAAAGTTCCTCTACAAGTCACAGCCACCATGTGCAGCCTCATTACAATTTCTTTAAGCATGGTGTTCATGGATACAGCTGTCTTTCCTTTCTTGCCTTAGAACTAAGCTCTATCAACAAAAGCCTCCATTCCATCTGTGTTCACAGCCACCTCATTTACTCCCCAGTTCCTCAGAGGAGTCAGACTTGCATCTGTACTTTGACAATGTTGTGGCTAAGCCATCAGTGCTGCCACGGACCTAAACCAACTGACATTACCTACTTCTGAGCTGACAGTCCTAGGGCATTTAACAATGTTTGCCATTCCTTTTTGAAATCTTTCCTTTAGCATCTTTGATATCACCATATCTCCTGCTGTGTTCCTGTCTCGGTCAAGAGTCCTCCAGGATATTTTAACTGGATTGTCTCTTAATTCATCTCCCACCCCCACTGCTGCCCACCACAAGTCATTTAAACCTGATGCTTTGTGGGTTCCATTCATGGCCATGTCCCCCTTTTTGGTCACCCCATACTCTACTTGAATCACAACCATTCCCCTGATTTTAACCACCACCTATACAGTGATGATTAGAAAATCTCTCTCTCTAAATCTCCCTCTTAAACTGTGGGTCTATATTCAGCTACTTAGTAAACATTTCCCCTATACGATCCATAGGCATCTCAAGTTTTAAATGTCTGAAAACACCGAACCTATGATCTCAGCAACCCTATTTATTCCCTAATCCCCTGTCGTCCTTCAGTCTCCTTAGTCAATGTCAACATCATCCTCCAAGGGAGATTAAAGTTCAGTCCAATTGGAATATCCACTCTGATTCACTACTGCCTTATGCAGTACTGAATCCAAAACAGTCATGGCACATCATTTAAGGAAATAATTCACAGTTCAAGTAATAAAATTATGTATTTTGTGTTTAATTCAATTAGGCAGGTATACAAATTTTATGACATGTTTAAGTATCTCTCTCAGATGAAACCAAAACTACTTAATTACTTCAGAACAAAGACTGTCTTATTTTTTTAATTCTTAGCATGTAAGAGGCACTCAGTAACTGATGGATATGAATAGTGAATAAAATACATTTGTATTTTACATAAGATACTGAAGCAAATGTTTTTCAGCACTTAATTTGATTTTTAACTAGAGAACTAGGTTCAATTAAGAAAATTTGTAAACATCACATTTTTAGAATAATATATGTGGTTCAGCAATATCCTACATTATTAGTTTGGCAAAATGTTGCACTAATTCTCTTTGAGTCCTATAAAATGATTTGAGACTCTCTGTATTGCTACTTCAATTTTATAGGTATTTATATCATCTCCCAAATTACTTTTATTGACAAATTTAATTAAAATGCTATTCATCATTCCTCTTTGATCATTAGAGGCACAAAACAAAATTAGACCTAATCATGATCTCAGTCTTAACCTCCTAATGGTCATCCTTTTTAGGTAACATTTAAATTATACAGTTCATGCAAATCAATGATGATTATTTTTTTTTTCCTAACAAGATTATCATTAAATCTCAAATAGTATTCTTTCCTATTCTGACTTAAACAAAAGGAAAGGCAAAAGAAAGACATCACGTTTAGATAGCCAAAAGAGACAGTTCAATAGCCTGGAAAGATATATCAAAAGGTTACTTTGTAGAATAGAAAGTGTCAAACCATGCACATCAGCTGCTGCCTGACATACAGATGTTTTAGACATGGCAATAAAATGAGAAACCTTTGGTTTAATAATAATAAAAAAGCAACATCAGTTGGTGCATATTACATGTTGCACGGAGCCCTAGTTGCCTAGCAACCAGTCATGAGTGAACTCCAGAGAGAACAAAAGTCTAAACAAGTGTAGTTTGTGCAAGTTTCAAGGGCTTGAAGAGATCTGTCAGTAGTTAATCTAAATTGTAGTTGACAATTATCATACTGACATGGAGGTATGAGAATCCATCATTAATGAACAGGCTAAAGCACTAACTAGAGAGGAGACTGAATCCCTTAGGTTTATATCTTTTGAATCAGTGGTTTTATAGGAAAAAAAAATTGTGGCAATATGATCTATAAATTATAAAAACTTTATGAAGAAAAAAATCACTTATTACACACAAGCAAGTATACATGCATTCATTCATTCAACAGAAGACACAAACGCACACATGTCATGTGGTCAGATACCACCCAGGCCACTAAAAATACAAAAATGAAAGCACTTTGTAAGCTCTCAAGCAGTTCACACCACAATGGAGAAATCAGACAAGTAAACAAATCATTACAATATCATGTAAGTTCTGTGATACAGGGGTAGTAGCCATAGGATACTATGGTAACATCCTCTGAGGGCAGAGGATGAATGAGAACTAAATGGTGAGGGATAAATTATCAGAGGACATGACATGAGCTAAGTCCTAAAAGACAAGCAAAAGTTAGTCAAAATATAAAAGTGGAGGAAGGGTAGACGAGAATTCCTGGCAGAAGAAAAAATACTTGCAGGGAGCACTGAAGTAAACAGGGCATCTTGAAATACAGGGAATTTGAGGAATTCAATATGACTAGAAGTTAGGGTAAAAGTACTGAAAGAAAAAACTTCATATTCTAAGCTAAGAAGTTTAGACTTTATCCAGCATAAAACTGAAGAGACACGGGATGGTTTTAAGCCAGGAATAATACAATCACTGTGACAATGATGTGAAATATCCCAGAAAGGACAAAAGTGGATATCAAGGACAATAGATAAAAGCCTACTATAGTAAAAGACAGATACTCAAGATATAAAATCATCAACAAATTGGGATGGAGGAGGGAGCTGGGGAGAGGGCTCCACACAGCACTCTAGGAAATCTACCAGCTATGTATAGTATACACGCTACTCAGTCACTGAGGAAATGACAGTCTGAACTCCCCAGAAAACAAATATACAGAGGTTAAAAAATATCTGTGGGAAGGAAAAGCTAATGACAAGAAACGGAGAAGAAAAAGAGGGAGACATAAGAGACCGGAGAAGAAAAACTGAAGAATACAAATGATACTAGAAAAGATATTCAAATTTCTGAATGAGAGCTAATATTCTTTTTTAAAAAAGTCCTAAAAGAAAACACTTTGATGCATAGCTACATAAAACTTTAAAATGTAGGTACCTTGGATAACACAGATTAATCATAAACTTTCAGGAAAAAAAGGTAACATACAACAGAGAATTACTATCCTTTACATCTAAATTACATAACATCAAACAAAATCAGTAGAGGCTTCAATAAATGGGCAAAGATACAGATGGTTAATCCCACCCCAAATAAAAATGAATTTAAAATGTTTTAAAATCATTCTTATAATCATCAATGAGGTGCACAACAATACCTCTATGATTCATGTATAAAATTAGCGACTTGTATTTATGCATTAAATTACTTGTTCAGGAAACAATAAAATGGAAAATCTTGTACAATATGAAAGTATAAGTAGAATATGGTTTTTGAAAAAGAAATGCAAAGACTTAAATCTTTAAAGTGGTTCCGATGCTCTGACAAAGCAATTCTACTTCTGAAAACTGACGTGAAAGAAAACATCAAAACACAGATAAAGTTTACATACAGCATTTTTTATATTAGTGAAAGGGACTGGAAATGATCTATATGCCTCCCAATGGGAGATAAATACACTATAGTCCAGCAATGCAAGAAAATATAATGTAGTCACTAAAAATTATGTTTTTGGAGCGATTGCAATAATAGAAAAAAAGGACTTACAATGCGTAAGAGAAAATATAGCAATTACATAATTTCAAAATTGGGTTTTAAAACAGCATAGAGAAAATAAGTTGTTTCTGAGTAGTGATGAGTTTTTCCTTTCTTTTCCTGCAGTTTTTAAGTTTGTCTTTTAAATAATAAGGATATGCTGTTACTGTATTTAGAAAACAAATTCACCCATTCCATCTATCCCTCATAAAATATGCGGGGGGGGGGGTCTCCCTGGTGGCGCAGCGGTTGAGCACTGGGTTGCGAAGCTGCCACTGGAGGAGGGTCCCACATGGCACGCAGACCTCTCCTGCCGTCCGCTCCTCCCCTCAGCAGTGTACTTCAGTCTGCCTGCTCTGCTCCCCACTCTGGCTCTCGTGAATTCTCTCACCCTCCCGCGCTTCTGACTGTACCAGTGCTTGTATAAATAAATAAATAAATCTTTAAAAAAAAAAAAAAAAAAAAACATGTGGGGGGGACTCAAAAGTTTGTCTTAAGCTTGTATTTAAGAACTCATTCCTTCCTTTGAGATCTTTCTGTAGTCAACTTTCGCTCATTTTTACCTAAACTTAACTAGTTCTACACAGTTCAATTAAATTCAAAGAACATTCTATAGCACCCTAAAATTGAGGGAAACAAGTATATTAAGGACTTGAACTAAAGTCAAAGAATTAAGCAAGAAAAAACATTTTCTAAGTTTTTTAGTAATCGAAGGGGTTATAACATTTTAATAAATGTTGCCCACTTTAAAATACTTGCATTTATAAGCAAAACATGGCTGTGTCTTTGTTTTACCTGAGGTGGTTAAGCAGAGGCTGAAGTCTCTCATCAGACTGCACAGCAGGCAAGGACCGGGCTGTTAACTAAAAGTAGAGAATAGGATTAGTAAAAACAGCAAAGACCAAATACTGAAACGTTTTAATCCTAAATAGAAAATCGGACAGGAAAAGCAGAGGAGAGGGAGTATTTAAAAGGTATAGAACTTTTCTCTTTTTTAAATTAAAAATTGTACAGAATGCTAACGGATACGTGATTACAGCTAACTATATGGTGCTAAGGACTGTAGAGTATGTCACGGAGTTTAAGTAACAAGAGGCAAAACAAAGAATAAGAAATGAGTACTCATCTGAATTCATGAAAATGTCTCTAGTCATGAAAACATTACCTTTGAAAATAAAAATGGGAAAACTTCTAAATTTATAGGAACATACCCAGTAACACTGAATCCTAGGATGATGAAAATATTGTAAAGAAGGACTTTCATTTATAGCTAAGCCACAATGAAGCTCGCTACATGCTGAAGTATATATGCATGTACCCTCGTGTGTTTGTGTGTGTGTTTCTCTCACTCACTCACTCACTCATACACACGAACAATCATGCATTCCTTCATTCTGACAATCACATTACCATGAAAAACCAAGAATATCTTTTAAAGACACAAAAGCAACTCCAAGTCCTTAATATTGAAATATGACCCCAAACTGATCTAGTAAACAACAAATCATTTGACAATTCCTGCAAAAGAGTCTTCCTTCAGACAAACTGCAAACTGCAAGAGGCCCTTTGGCGGCTATACGGTACCCTCTTCAATTATTTAATGTTAATTAAAATTTTCTGAAAATGGAAACATAATTCATCAAAACTTTTGACTATTATGCAAATAAAATAAAAACATCACTTCCAAAATATTTAAAACTATATTTATGAAAAATGATGATGATGGAGAAACATTACCAATTTCATGCAATAGTCAATACATGTCAAAAAAGCTTACTAATTTAAAGTACAATAAAGTGACCAAAGTGTACTACAATTCTAGTAGAACCAAAAGTGTTTCCCTAGAAAATACTATCTAGTATTTCATGACATATAAAATGTTACCAAGGTTTTATAAATAGAACACTTTAATATGTCCTATATCTGCTAATATCAAATTATTTTCACCATTCTAGAGATTTCATCACTCACAAACTTTGCTCTAAAATGATTAAAATATTTTATCTCAATACTTAAAAGTCAATTTTCTGAAAACAGATGGAACAGTCAAACTGGACTATTTCAGTTGCTTCTGTTCAACCCATAGAGCATATGCCATCTAATCAAAGTGTCTTTTCTACATGAAAGCAAACAAAAACTCTACAGTAACAGCAAAATATTTCTAAATGTCTACTCATTCCATATAGGAAATATTTCTCAACTCAGCCCGTTCTTAACCTTAAATCTTCATTTCCTGTTTTCTGAATTATGAATACAACACTTTCTCCACTCACTTCTGCCTCCATTCTTGGCCCTCCCTAATTTATTCTCTGTTATCAAGGCCAGAGAGAATTTTTCAAAATGAGAGTTAGCCACTCCCCTAATTAAAACCCCTTAACAATTCCCTTAGGTTCTCTGATTAAAGTTATTACACCCATTCTTTCATAAGACATTTTCTTAAAACTCTCCTTCAGGGCCACATTGCTGCCACACTAAGCACAGGAAGAGTGTGACCGCCAATCCAGTCTCTGCCAACTGCATAAGACACCACAGGGGCATAAATTCATCATAGCTCCATTTTCTGGAAGATTTGATTCCCTCTCTACCCCACAACTTATTTTCAAGTTTGAATGTCTGACAAGAATAATTCCTAAAATGTGGGTCAATGCTCTGAGTAAAATTATTTCAAGGAAGATTCTGAGTTTCCCAAAGGTTTTGCTTTCAACTTCTAAAACAATTAGCATTTTCAAAAAGAGCACCTATCTCTTTGTGTTAAGGAGATGAGGTAATAAAGCTATTACAAAGCTCTTTAAAGTGGCAAAGCCATCTGGTGACCTTTTGCTGACAGAATGTAAACTTCATTTTAGGGAGTGCTGGCTCCCATCATTTCTTCTGAAATTTCTCTCTGAGCCCAAGTAGCTACTACTATACCCATCTGACCAGGAGGGGCACTGCACCTGTAGCACGTGGCAACTTAACATATGTTTAGTAAGTATTTACTGAATGTGTGGCAAATCCATATGACAACTCACAACTGTGTCATTCCTTTTTTTTTTTAAAGGGTATATTTATTTCTGCATAGAAGAACTTGGGTGTGGGCCAGAGGTGCAGGGGGTAGGGGGTGAGAGGATTCATCAGAGACAGAGTGGGGACCAGCAGGCAAGACAGGAGAGGTCTGCTGTGCCATAGCAGGGTTAGCTCCCTGGCCAGGGATCGAACTCAGGTCATCAGTGATAGAGCTGAGAGTTAACCCCCTATGTCACCAGGGAGGCCCCTGTGTCATTCCCTTAATTGATAAAAGTAAAAGTAGGTCTATATCTACATTTCAGTTTTTCAAAATTTCTGCCTTAAGCAAAACTAAATTTTACAGAAAACTGCACTAAACCATAATCATCAGCCTTCTGAGAAAGCAACAGCCTATCATAACAAGATTTTCAGCATTAAGGACCTCCCTCTACAACCTAATATGAAAATATGTCTAAATAGACTTTGGTTCCCACATTTTAGCTGTTTATTTTTTAATAGAAAAATACAATAATCTCCTTGACACATAAATCACCAAGAATCAAAAAGAAATATCTATCACAGTTTATGTCTGTGAAGTTTCAATGGGTTGAATTAGGGATGTTCATGGTAACCATAACAAAAGCTGGCATAACATACAGCTTATTTCTTATTACTGTAAAGAGGTTGAACTGTTAAGATATCCTTACATGGTTATGAAAATATCTCGTGCAGTGAATCAGGCAATGCAGGGTTGGTGCTGTTTTTTGACAAGTACAACAGACTACTAGCTCTTAAATAAATCTCATTTTAAAGATTAATAGTCTTAAGTAAATCTTGCATTTTGCCACATGTTTGGGTATAAAACATAATAATGTATTTTGCCGACTAATAATTCTCCTTTTAATGTCAATAAATAGCACAAAGATTCAAAGCCACAGAAGACAAAAAAGAGAATCCAGAGGTGTCAGGTCCAACCTTGTCATTTAACTCTGGAGGAACCTGGGTTCTTCAGGCCATAAGCAGCCAGCTGCTGGCAGCTGAGCCGAGCCTGTGCTGGGCCTGAGGTCAGACACACACAGCATGTGTGCAGGGTATTTTCCACCATCACAATATGATCCAAACACTCCACATTTCACACATAAGCCAGGTCAGAGGCCTGACCCCAGCATGCTACTGTCTCCTCTCACTCCCTTCACTTTTCAAACAGGACAATGTTTCAACACTCATAACCCCATGAACAGCTTTCAATCTTGAAGATTCCCCAATTTTTGCACTGAAGTTTCCTTCACATCATTTTGGACTTGGCCCAAATATAACCTATTCCTAGAGGCCTTCCCCAACCACCCTTGGTAAAGCAGCACACTCTCCACAGGTATTCTATTACTCAATTACCTCACAGCATTTACTACTATCTGAAGTTATTTATCAGTTTAATGGCATATGTCTGTCTTCCTTTACCCACAAGAACAAAGGCTCTGTCAGTGTCCTTTTCTGTTTGGTGACTTCTTAAAATAGTATGTGGGGTGACAGGCAAGAGATGTTCTAGGCATGTCACTATAAAAGGGAGCACTACTGTGACCACAAGAACAGGTGCCACTTTCCCCATCTTCCCCACCCCTCCTTTCAATGCTGCCAACATCTCAGACACCTTGGACCACAACTTCCAGCATGCCATGAATCAGACTTCCAGAATGGAGGGCAGCTTAAAGGAAAAGGGAGGGAAGAGGAGTGTGTGGTTGGAGAGATATGTGGAGCGGCTTCTCCAGGTACTTTAACATTTTGGCAAGAGGGCTCTTCAAGGGGGATGGCAGTCTTCAGCTTGCCTTATCCAGCTTAGATGACACAAGATGAATTTCTGATCTCTCCTCTCTCCAAGCCCACTGGGTTTATCCAACTCATAGTTTGTCTTTTTTTCTTGCCAGAAGGTACTTTGGACTCTTGGCAAGCTTTATTCCTTGCTCTATGCCCAGCCTGTTTGACTGGGCATTTGCCCAAGAAGGGATGGGTGATTTTTGGAGTCTGATCAAGAGTCTGTTATTCGAAATCTCTCATGCTCTCTCCCTTTACCTCTGAACTTCACACCACTCAAAGATCTTTAAGCACATTGGGAGTTTGATTTCATTTCTTGATGCACATGGATGGCTGGCCCCTTTTAGAACAGTACAAGTGCAGTTTTCCCATTAATGGTTTGGGTTACCCTTCAGTTTTGCCCGGTTTCAGAGGCACTCAACAATTACTATATGGTGAATGAAATGTTTACCTGTGTCAAGTATTTCCAACAGAGGCACAAGTTTAAAAAGCTTGTCCTAGACACTGGCCCTTTTCATCTTGCATCTCTAAAGTTTTCCAAAGTAAATATGATCTACCAACTAGGGGAGCCACACACATTGCTCCCTTCATTTTCAGATGAATGAAATATCTTAAGTATTCCCTTTAAAAGAAGGGGAAATGCTCCATCAAGCAATGAAGCTGAAACCAAGGCTCCAGTATTCAGAGGAAACAAGTAGCCCAAACTAGCAGTTCAAAAATCAAAGTGTGAGTACATAATAACAAGTTCTAACAAGAAAGAGTAGGGCCTCCCCTGGTGGCGCAGCGGTTGAGCGCTAGGCTGTGAAGCTGCCCGCAGCCTCTGCAGCGCCGGTTCGATCCCCGGCCGCCGCCGAGGGTCCCACAGAGCACGCAGACCTCTCCTGCCGCCTGCTGCTCCCCTCAGCAGTGTACTTCATCAGTCTGCCTGTTAAGTTCCCCGCTCTGACTCTGGTGAATTCTCTCACCCTCCCGTGCTTCTGACTGTACCCAGTGCTTGTATAAATAAATCTTTAAAAAAAAAAAAGAGTTACCTCCTTTGAAGCTATGTCTTTTTGCTTTCTGAAAGCCT